TTTTATCGTGTTCATCGGCGTACAGACTCCGGCGTGGGATGAGGGCTTCCAAACAATAACATACCGGTCACTTAAAGAGGAAAGAAAGATGGTCCAACGATTTTTCAACAAGTATACTGATCATGAAAACATGGCTTATCGATCCTTTTGAATTTGATAATCGGAGCTTGCAGCAATATGTGTCAGAAAAGTTACCACAGGGGCAACTGGCTTTTGGTGGTCAGTATGCGTGGTAACCCACATGCGTGTGTTGCGGTCCCACGATTTGGCAATTAGATTTGCGAGCCAATGAGCTTCGCGCTTTGTGGAGTACGTGAATCTCAGTATCCGCGAGGATTAGGTATTGCCTAGAAATGCAGCTTCTCAGTTTCATGCAAATGGAATATTGCCTCATCAGTGAATATGTTGGAATGAACGCTCAAGGCTGTGACGGAATAATACGCTACGCGGCACCGAGTAGTCTTTAAGCAGCATAGCTTTTCAAGACCTCTCAAAACGTTACATTTCGTATTTGCAAAGCCTAATTGTAAGGAATGCCTATTTTGCTACGCTGGGTTGTTGGAAGCTAGCTTTCAGTCTATAAGAGCGTTGTCAATAACTCTTTTGTCATTAGCCGGGGTAACACTGAGCACCTGTTGTACACTCTGCTCAGGTCAGTTAGGTTTGTCCAAGCGCCACCACAATTCTACCGCAGTATCCCGGTAATGATGTACTGCTCTCTTGAATTTGCACGCCTGTATTGGTCCCAACCAGCCCGACAAACGGTATGTATCGATCGGTGAACTTGCCCTGTGGCGTGCCGTAGTTGATTTCAACTCAACCATCCGCACTCGACTAACGTTTTCACGATGGACGAGACTGACAAGTACACCTGCACCCAGATGCATGCATACGGCCATCACTCCGGTCGTTCATACCATTGTGACCGTGTGAGCGACATTCTGTGATAGACCAACATCTACTATTGGATAGTTGGCAATTTAGTGCGCTCTCCTCTCTCCTGAATTTGTGAACCTTGGACGCGGGTAAGAGAGTAAAATTGTGTAGCTAGAGTAAAAATGTACAATGCTCATATTAGTTACTTTAAACGTCTTGACATGTAACGTTTAAGACGGACGATAATCTATCATATGTTATGATATCAGACCGGCCTCTCATTCTCGGGTGCGTCATTTTTATGAAACACAATGTTGGAGTGGGTGAGAGCAAAGTTTACGGTCGGGTGTTTGTTACGTTGTACATTTAATTCCGCGGGCCGCGTATCATTACATAATTTCCAAGGTCTTTGTATTCGCTATTGCTATCCGTCGCAATTGTCAGATGTGAAATATTCCGAGAGGTTGTTCGACAGAAAATAACATGTCTGGCTGTAAGTACTGCAAATCCCCTTCTGGAATACCGTACTTTACCCGCGGGTAGTGCTAAGGGGAGATAAGAACAGTGATGGGCAGGGAATTCTTGTATGTATGTTGCATGGGAGCTTTTTCAAATTCTTTATTGCCGTTCTATAAGCCGAATCCCCTCTCCATCAACGAGATCTTGTCCAAAAATCATCAGCTTATATTCGGTACTATACGGTAACTGCCACCCTGTTTTGCAAGAAATTCGATATTCCAGGCACTCATCGTCATCTACAGAAGTGCTTCACTACTTAGTACCATATTTCGCAGTCAGACATATGTATTGGTCCCAATAAAAAGCCCTTGAATAGAGGAGACTGTTTATCACGTGCATGTCAGTAATAATCTGTCTTAACGTAAGGATTCAGGAACCTACGCACTGTCAACATTGAGCTGTCACAAGCATATGGCAATTGTGCGAATTTTAGACAGTTTCCTTACTGCTTTCAGTACATCATATCTTGACTAAAATTGCCCCATAAATAACAGTATCAGTTAAAGGTTAAGTAACTAATCCGGTTAGTAGTCGACGGTGGATACACTACTGGAACTAGTTGTGAGTCACAAGCTAATCATACAATGCTTTGCGCAGAGCTACAAACCGATGGCGGAATGGTCCAGTGACGCCCAGAGCAACCGTCGCTGAGTTCATTTCCAATTACGAAAGGAATGCTTCTCTTTTGAGGTTTACGTCACCCTAGTTCAGACAAACAAAACAAGTTCCACTATTGGAGGTTCATGAGCCTGAAAATTAATTGATGCTATTTGTTGATGGAGTGAATCAATCTGACCATCATAACCAAGTGTTTGTCTGTACACCAATCGTTATGGCCTATGGGATGTATATGTCGCCAGCAATGCTTCGTAGGCAACAACGATTAACGCCCAGATAGCATCTGAAATATTTAGAATTATGCTACCGAAGCTGGATGCCTGAGATAATGTATGGAAATGATTACTAAGCTTAATAGGACAGTTCCTCAGATACCAACATGGGGAATTGGTTGCTAACCTTCCCGGCACAATTTGAAGATAAGAGAGGCCTGTGAATGGCTGTCACATGTGACAATCGTTACGTGCTGTAAAAGCTTAAACGCCCTCCTGTACTGCTTGGTTAAAAGTACCCGTGTTGTATCGATCGAGTTTAGTGTGCAGGTAAAACCGTAAACTAAGAGGAACTTCTATTTCTAGGGATCCTCGCTGGAACTAAAGATTTGAACAACCTTTTCCCGCACTCATTTAGAATGCTGTGTAATGGACCATGTGCGCAAAGTTCCCAGCAGTCCTTTTCGGATCAGCGATTCAGACGTCATAGTCATCATGCAGAATGCGCTGACATATTGGGTCGATAAAAAATACCAATTGTCTTGACCATGCAGCCTCATATATGCTAATTTGGTTTTCGGCATGGCGAAGCAGCCATTGGTGACACACATTCGATTGTTGACATTGCTTATTATCCATGCAGCAGTGCACACGCCACCGAGGTCAACACCACAGATGTAACGCACTGCGGAAACTAAGATGATTTACAAACATCTGAGAGCAGCTTTATCCCTACTGGGAGGTAGGTGAGCAATCCAAGTTTTGTGATGAGATGGTTATCAAACTCAGGAAGTGACAGCTTTGAAAAAACCGTAAAAGCAAAGTGGTTCAGTTACATATTTCTTTCAAGCAAATTGAATTTTGGGATCTTCATTTTTGCATGGTCTCGACGCTGCGCTCTAAGCCAGGTTTCAACCTAGATTTGACTTGCGAGGGAGAGGTAACCGAAGCTAAGATTGGAATTGACGGTCAACTGGATGAATCGTTGACCATTAGGTGATGAAGATGTGTGAACGGAGCTCTGTATAGCGGTCAGGAAATTGATGTTTAGTCTTTAAACTTTCTGACCCCTGACACGAAGGAAACCGGTCATGGGGTGCGGCACTGAACGAACAAAGTATCGAAATCTGTCCACCTGGGATAGGTTCCCATGGATCCGGATGATCGAGGTCGGCCTCGAAGTAAAGCAATCTCTTAATAGCAACTGTATTTCGCAATCTATTTACTCGGTGGGTCTTTCAAGACCTAGAATTGCGTGTTAGGGACTTTAATGGATGATTACACATAATTGCGAAGTTTCAGACGAAGTAAACAACTATGCTGTAACATGTAAAGCCAGCATATCAGGCACGGTTTTGGAAAGCGCTCCTCAGATAGTACCCTTCAGTAAGCAGCCATTGTTAGAAAGTGCGCGGACCGAGTATTCGCACCGAAAGCGTGGCCACGGATCCATTGCAATGTACCACTCTAGCCTAGCTCCTCTGATTGACGGTAAAGTTCGTTCTGTTTAGCGCGTTTTCTAACCTGTCACAAGCGTATGCTGTTATTCACCTGTATAAGGTGGAACCCAGATAGTTCTGAGTTGAATTTAAAAACCAAACAGCGCTCATCAAAGTAACATCACATCTAAGGCATATATATTCGGCAGTACTAGTACAACCCTAGTAGCAGAACCTTTTACAGCAAATGCGATGTCAGATCATGGCACCTACGTTACCCGTCTACCCTTCGTCCGCTGCTCAGAAGATAGATGCTGATTTATACTTTACTATGGTCGACAACTAAGCGAATGATCCACCGGCCTGGATGGTCCCGGCTTCGCTCTGACATCTACAAAGACGGCCAAAAACAGCAGCTTCAAATTTGGGTTTGGAACACTTGCCGTGTGGTTGCATTGCGACACTCAACCTCTGTTTATATCTCAGTTTACTTCGAAGCAGGTGTTGGTCATTCCGATAACCATAACGGTCTCCAAAGTGTGAGGGGTATTGCTGTTGCTCTTCCCAACCCCGATAGTCCATGCGCTTTCATCTTCTTTTGGGATTCATCAGGTAGTGATAGTCTATGTTAAGCGTTGCTCGCGTAGCACAGTGGGCTGTCAGCCGAAAAGCACTAGGCCCCGAGTTTGAATCCCAACTCAGGTTATCTTTATCTGATGAGTCCAAACGAAGAGGAAAGCAGTCATGGGGGGTCAGTGCTGAGGGACAACGAAGAATTCCTTATACGTCACCTAGTGTTCAAACCAAGGCAAAGGAACAGCAAGTCGGTTCCTCCATAATGACTCTTCTAACCGGGGTAGTGCATCAGAGGACAATTTTGCGTCATATTCCGACGGGATGATCTTCGCCACAAATGATATACATTCCGCTACAAACACGAAAATAGAGCTCTGTTTCGGCATTCACACTCTCCCGGAAAATAAGGTTTAATTTGTATAATTCATCATACGTACACGTAGCTGAACTCTTCACTTAGATTGCTTTAGTTAGCCAACATCTTACGCCCATGGTTGACCTGTTTACTGATAGTGCCCTTCCACATCGAATATCGTAACAAGTCCTTTATTCACTTGCGACGTGTTATAACTGCAACACACCGTGAGCTGATGTAGAATAGCGATTTGTATCCAGCCACCACCAAAATAAACAACAAGCAAACAGCTACATAATTAACCAAGGTTTTATGATTCAGGGGTTTACTATAACATATCGTGCTTTTGTGGTAGCAAATTTCTCATGCCAAATGATCAGTTGTTGTAATTTTGTTGTTCTCCAGGCTAGTCGTGTTTATCCCGATCTCAGTTGCATTGGCCTCATTCCCAACGCCCAGAGGGCAGACGATTTACTGGTATGTTGAACATTTCCTATATTCTCATTCGAGAAACCAGTCCATTTTTTGTTGACAAGAGTTACAGTTGATTAAACGAATGAATGTATATTAAGTTTGCAAAATTCTCTAGATCAACTGCATGTTTTAATGCCTTATCAAACGGTGTATTATAATATAGTACTCACCTATCTGGCTTTAGTGTTGCATCCTGAGCTGTTACCTTTTGAAACATCGGAGAGTAAACAACCCTTTTTACAAGAGAGTACTAGACTTAGGGCCATAATCGTGTTATAGTCCTTTTGCGATGTAGAGTACTCCAATGTATCACTCCTAATAGATTAGTTGCGAGTATTCATTCTAACCAAACTAGGAGGTACAGCAGAGACGAGGCCGGCGAGTCCTGGTTTGCGAACGCACTATTGTGATTGGTAACATTTCTTACAGGCTTCGATTTAGTTCATATTTACATTTATTGTCTCTTAACTGTGGGCTTAATCGAACGGGGTCAAATGTGCTTTCCACCTTGGTTTTTTGATTTGCTTGGAATACTGTGCTGGAGAGACCTCAGGAGAATTCAGGTGGCCAAAAACCGGTTATCCAATTAAGTATCTGAACAAATAAATCTACCTGTAACTTCAAGGGCTTGCAGGAATCAGCTGGCATATTCTTTGTTTTAGACCAAAAGTTTTTCTTCTTTAGGTACATCGGTATGAACTTGGTGCAGCATTTTATGACGAAATATTGGGCGGATCGCACAACAGAGACATGACTCTGGAGGCCATTACAGACACAGGTCACGATCCGTTTTCTAATATCTAATACAAACTGCGTATGTTTCAGGCATGTACCTTGTGTCACATTAGCAGATGATCGCTTGTTGTTGACGATGATGGAAACGATTTGCTCTTTCCGAACCGGACCGATGTTCCCCACATAAGAGATAAGGATCGCTCACAGTGCACAAGAGAGTTCTGCCTTTCCTGTTCTTTTCCTGTATCTGCTGGCTTTAGAGTTGCTTATTAAACTCTTAGCTTGTCGACGGTACCCAAATTGATCTTAATTACAGCTACTGCTTCGTGGGAATATCCACGCAGTGATTGCACCACTTGCGATGGCAGCACAACTCATCACCCCAATATACGCAGAACTCGCCTCTGTTGCCTTCATTATCGCCTCCGTTTGTCAAAAGATGTCGCCGCAACCGTGTATTGGGTCAGCTGACTTGAAGAAGCTCTCTTGTAAAAACCCAAACATTATCAAAAAGAGACCGATGAACTTGTTCGTACCTATCCGAAACCCTATACTCTTATTTTTAGAAATCTGTCCCTAAATCGGATTTGATCGCAATAATAAAAGTAGCCAACATTAGGTTAGGGGCAGTTCGTGCTCCAAAAAATTACCTGTAACAACGCCAAATGACGGACTTCATTTATATATAATGCACATTCTAAGGTCATGGGTGCTAATGGAACCGCCCATCTATCATATTATTTTCCATCCCTAGGAGAACCAGACTGCGCCTGGATCCTTCCGGGCACCGTCGGCTTATGAACGTGTGTTTCCGCTGGAGCAGTTTCCTTTTCCACGTCCGGTGGTCATCTACGGCCCACTGGCAACCCTCGCGAGACATCGATTGCAATGTGCCGGGCAGCAGTCACATCTCGAAACCGGAATGCTGACAACGCGCTTTCATATTCCCCCTGTCAATGCTATGTTGTCCAACGTCAGTTCTTCGAATTCAACCGCCAGCGGCCTTATTAGGCTTAGCGCCATTAAAGTAAGGTTATCGATTACGCTGTACTTATTGGGGTTTTAAATACAATACGATTGATACTCGTCATCCTTCAGTGACCTTTACTCCGCCTAGCCCATTTATTTAAATTTATTGGAGTCAGTCACAGAAAGTCCAATTTCTTGAAAGTGAATCCTATTGCGAAGTTAGCTTGTAGAACAGTGATCCGGCTACTATTGTATCGCCCAAGGATTCGAAGGTTAGCGGTGGCGTCCGACATCTAGTTATCCAGATGATTACTGTAGTCAATAATCCTTACTATCATAGACAAGTTTTAACGACATGCTACATGTTTGTTGTGCAGACCACGCTCCTTCAACCGCTGCTTGTCACCATTGTTTTATTAGTAGCGGATCCACTCTAATGAATTTCGTAGGCTTGGGGCAGCAGGGTGGTGTACAGTCGCAAAATAGGCGTGAGCAGTATCAGGTGACACTTCGGCGCAATTCGCATTACATCACTGGCTAAAAGTACCTCCTGCAAGCAGTCAGTAGATATAGTGATAACTTTCAGTGGTAATTCATCTAACTTTCCAAAGGTGTATGGGCGCAGCTTTAGGAAAGTTAGATAAATATATGCATTGTTGTTAATATATGCTACAGGGATGTCATATTGTTCACCAATGAACAACAACGAACAATGAGCAAGGAATTTATACGGGTTAAGAAGCGTTGCTTTACATGTCGTGTTGGATAGTTGGTGGGGACATAGAATAATAATAATGATAATAATGCTAGTAAAGCAGTTGGTACTTTAAATATGATAATAAGAACTTATCGTTTGCTCCGTCGTAGTCCTGCAATCCGGTTAGATTCACAGCACCCGCAGTTAACATCAACTAATTCCACAGTAAACTCCAGGTCTAGGATGGAGACGTAGCGCTTAGTGACAAAGTGTAAGTGAGTGAGTACGTCATTCAACCGTCTTTTAAATACCGTTAGCGTTGGTGCAGATACCACCGATTCTGGGAGAGCATTCCACGGGTGACCGACACGAATGGAAAAGAAATTTCTGCAGCACTCTAGACGGCTGTATTGTTCTGCGAGTTTCAATGAGTGGCCCGTAAGGGTTGTATTGGTGCTGATTTAGGTCTTGCAGTATCAACTATGCCATAATCATGTAGCCCCGTAGTCTGCGATAGGTTCCACTGAATACCCCCAATCGTTGCAGCCTCACGTAGTATGAAAGGTTGCGCATTCCAATTACGTTCGCAGATGCCCGACATCGTAGTTGCCTCAGTGCATTCAGGTCGTGTTTCAGCCACGGATGGCAGGCTTGAATTGCGTATACGACATAGGGGCGAACATACGCACTGATCATTTTTTCGAAATATACAGCTGTTTATTTGTCCAAACGCCCGTCGCAACAGCCCGACTTGTTTGTTCTCAGTCTTCGAGGCCTTTTCGGATTGCCTGGAGCAACCCAATTCATCTTGAACCAGGACACTCAAGTCACGTTGATTGTTGCAGTATATTCCTTGCCTCAACATTCGTAGGCTATTGACGGGTTTGTACAGCCGTTTCTGGTTAGCACTGGTTTTTGCAAAGGGCTGCTGCTAGGCAGCTTTGTCTTCTATTAGCAGTTGAGTGTGGTCTTTATTGAGCTACTAGTTGTTCCAAGTTTCTGGTGCTGGAGCTTTCCTGTACACTTGCAATGCTGCGTTACTTACTGTCATCCATTTTCGAGTTCTGCTCCAAGCGAAAGAAACGGATTTACACTTATCGCAAACGCTTATCTCTGAAGCCTCTGCAATCAGCTAACTGAATTTGTTGAAAAACTCAAGCCAGGCGACTTCCGGCGGTTATTCGGCAAGGAACGACCAAGTTGTAGCGCTGACCAGCTGTGTTAACCGATCGTAGCTTGTAATGGTCCGTACAGGCTTATCGTTCTCATTCGGATATTGCGAATAACATACGAAGTTGAAACTGATGACTTCGGGATCACTGCGACCCAAGGGTCAGTCTACAGCAAATAAATCAGACATATGTTTCTCGTTGGTAAGCACAAGATACAGCAAATATGGCCTGTTACTTGTTCTAAACCGAGTGGACAAGGTGATGTGATTGTAACGAGGAAGACTGGTTGCAAGATCTTGTAGATCGTCTTTGAATTGTTCTCCGATCGTGGCAGGATTTTCCACATAATGTACTTTGAAATCACCCATGATAAGTATGTGAGTGTACGTTCACTGCAAACTGTACCTTAAAGCAGCTGTAAGGTGGCAGTTGGTCTCGGGTGTAGAGTTAGGGGGCGGTACACCAAGAAAATAATGCAAGCGTCCCTGCTCTTTAATTGCAATCGATACCAAAGAGTCGGGGAACTGCTAGTCTGAATATGCCACGGCTTCGCACTGTGGGTCATTTACAGGTCATTTACAGGGTAATACAGGATTACCCCTCCTCATTTTATGAGCTTATCGTTCTAGCTCAGCGACATGCCCCGTAGCGGAACTTCAGCGTCCGTCATGCCCGTGTGCAACAACGTCTCGGTGATACCAATGACATCATATGCCCTGGAAATTTTTGCACTCTTGCAGTTCCGCCAGTTTATTAAAAAGACCCTGAGCATTCATATACAAGCAGGCCTGTTTCTCGGTCTCTAGGAGCCCATAGATGGGTGAAGGGGTCAAGTGTGAAATGCCGAACATGGGAGGTCAGCAGTTAGTCGTTTCCTTGATGGGATAATGATACCCGCCTGCAACTTGATTCGGCCAAGGTGCGCCCCAATCTTCGTTTAGAGCTACGTCAGAGTCAATTAAAGAAGCAGTCAAGTTACGCTTCTGTACATTCGTCGGTATGCTTGCTGCTTCAGGTGCTTTAATATTTGAGCTGGGCAAAGCTTCTGCGACCTTTAACCGAAGTTCAGAAGGAAGACTTTTCCGATTTATCCGCCATCGATCCAAAAGATCCGTTGCTTGTTGCTCTGACTGAACCAAACGTTTGAGGATTCTAGGGTCGCATCCTCTATAATTTGGTGAGAGAGGTATCCTGGTCAGCGATAGTGCCACAATATTATCCCAAGAAAGTGTTTCACGAATGAACTGCCAATGCTCTAAATCGTGCTCTCCGTTCGTTTGTACATCGTTAGAAGGATGTTCTGGCACACTATGTATGGAGATTGTGTTTAGGCGGTTTTGCTTGCTGTGTCCCTTTTTGGTCTTTCTTTTGATTGTCGCGCGCTCCAAGGAACATGAGGATAGATGCGTATCCCACAGGATCAGTGTTTTAGCAAGCTCGCGGATATTAAAAAGTTTCTACGTCAGTGGAGGATTCTAGTGTTGCTCGAATAAGTCTGGATGCTCCATAGTGTGGCGAATTCAGCTGACGAAATGACGATGTTCTGAAACTTATCTGCTACAACGCAGTCCAATATTAAATCGTCCGAATCGTTTTTTCGCAGAATAACATCTCAAGTATAAATCGCACCGGATCTTTATCTGATCCATCGGTTTCCTTCCTTCAGGTTTCACTTTTTCTTCGTTAACAGTGAATTGCTTATAATATGCAACGAGATACACATAGCATTTGAAACACTTCCCGTACAGCTAGACGATTCATGCTTCTAGCGTCTTTAATAAAATGCCATAAAGTTTTCTTAGCAGCCTAGCCAATTTCGAGCTCATGTGCTGTATCATCAATACATTAAGTAAAGTTACCATTGCGCCTTTCGGCATTCAGTAGACACAGTATTCAGACATGCGTAGACTGCCCTAACTATACCGTCGTTCTATGTCAATCTCCTAAAGGCAAGAACAACGCAAATGAGCATTCACAGGCGATTTTGACAATTCAGCGCCAATTTTCCATTACGCCCAATATCCAAGTGGATTTATACCAGCTGAGAAAGCCAGAGGAATTTTGTATCTTTAGTTATGATCCGTTAACAACGTTCGCTAGGGAAAAAACGGACAAGTCGTGCAGTGTAGTTGGATTTTATCGCACAGATTGATGATGCACTGTTGCATATTTTGAGGGTCATTTTGGATTATACATTGTGTGATTAAATTGCGACACGCAATCCCAATGTGGACCGCGATTCACATTGCAGTGGTCCTTGGTCACTGCGATCACTAGGACGGTAGCCGAAGCAGGTAGAATTTGGGTGTTGCCCTCCCGAAAACGCTGCACAACCACGACTCGTTTTAATGTCATTTCATCTCAGCAGGTGGAGGTAACAAAACCTCGAACCTTCAACCATTGGAATGGTAGCAGCAAGCTTTACCCATTGGCTACCAACTCACGACGAGCAACGCTTAACACAACAGTTAGTGAGTAATTGGTGGGTCAATTTTAGTCTACACGTTGTGTGATTGGATTGCGACGCGCACTCTCAATGTGGACCGCCATTCACATTGAAGTGGACCGTAGCCGAAGTAGGTAGAATTTGGGCATTGCCTTCCCGAAAACGCTGCACGACCACGACGCGTTTTAATGTCAGTTTATCTTATCAGGTGGAGATAACAAGCCTCGATTCCGTGGTGTTTTCGGGCGGATAACACCTGATTTCTGTCCACTGTTCTATAACTTATGCAAAACTGACGCCACTCCACCTGTTCTTCTATTACACCCTTGAGTCCACTTTCAAGTGACTAAGCTATTGTGGAACGCCAGATTCACATTCTATGTGAAAACAACTGGGATGAATTGAACAGAATTATCCACCTGTTATAAGTATCGGTTCGTAATTTCATTCAATGTTGTGCGTTCAGTATCTCATATAATCCGATGTCATTCATGTTGCTGTAGGGGGAGTAGCAATTTAGGAGGAACCGGGTGGAAATGAAGTACAAGGCAAGCGGCCAAATGGTTGCTAACGGTTGAACACAGGCACAAGGATTCGCCCCTCTTTTATTTGATCAAATCCAATGCAACATCATTATTATTTTAGTGCAGGAAAACGAAGTCCCATTTTTTGTTTTCTGTTCAATCTATTACAATATAATGGAAGATGCAACCGGTTACAACAGGGTTGCGTACCATAGGATATATTGTGGCCATGACAAAGCAAATAAGGGGGGTTGTAATGAGATTTGTCAAAGACATGAGGGGAAAATTCCATGTCCACAGGTCGCACAGTGAGTAACATGCACTATGTGAATGCGGGTTCGAACAATCCTTTTGACAACTTTCCATAGCTTAAGGTCATCAATGAGTGATGGTTTGCAAATTAAAACATCGTCAGATTTATTCACAACTGATCATTTCATGAAAGACATTTTTAGCCTAGCCAGTTTCCACTCCATCAATTTTCAACTAATTGGCTTGCGTTCAACCTGTATTTCATGATTGACTCTTGGTAGATACACTCTCATGCATTACGCCGATGGAGTTAAAGATCTAACAAATGTTAAAAATGTAAGTTTTGTTTACTTGCATTGGTAAATCAGCGCATTATGTTAAAACGCTCTTGCTTCTTACGGTTTTGAAGTTTGCTTTTTCTTCATATTTATAACTGCATACTTTCGAGCCGAAATGATGCTTGGGGAACACGAGACAAACACTAAGAGCATGCACTGTGTGCATGAGGTCCCAGGTTTATTCGGAATGTCAGCCCTCTTGAAGTCAAGGCGGACTGGCGTTTAGACTTCTAATATCTCATTTCCAGACAGTGTTAGCCTTCGAAGATAGGGATGAAGGTATAGGTGAAACAATGCGAGGAAGCTATGGGGTAAATGCTGATATACGTAAGCAACTTAATGTTTGTATGATATCAAAAATCTCAAGAACAACTGCGGTTCTGCACGAACAGAGGTAACAGAGCTAAAAATACGATTCTCTCAGCTACTACCCTGAAAGAACAAACAGGCGCGCCCTGACCTTACAATGTCCAAGGAAAAGCAGAGAACATGGAGGAAACCATACCTTCTTAACATGTATTGACGATAAGCAGATAAGGCAAGCATCCTGGACCATAATGTGGCAAACAGAACAATTCTGGGCAGCAGGAATTTTACTATCCAATTGCTACACCGTACGTGATTCACGAAACCTAGGTTATCGGTTTTGGAGTATGAGAGGCGATTGAGTAGCTGATGTTTGAGAGAACAGCCAATCGGTGCACAGTTGACCTAAACGGACAGTAATCGTGTACGCACGTGACAATACTGGCGTGAGACAAGGATGTCCGCTGTCATCTTTCCTCTTCAACTTCGCTATTGACGAAGTCATGGAGATTGCGTTCACAGTACACGAATTAGTAGGTGTGGAGTTGCTCCTAGGTGAGCCACTTCTTGACTTAAAGTATGCTAACTACATTGCCCTCATCTATGACAGCTCACAAACGTGCCAAGTGGAACTGAGCAGATTAGCACTGGCTGTCAGCCTCTGCAAGTTATGCTTTACACCCTCGAAGTGCAAAGCATTCCTCCAAGGTTGAACTGGACTCATCCCTGCACTGACCCTTGATGTGGATCAGTCATAAGTTGTTCAAAAGTCAACTACCTGGGAAGTTGTACCAGCGCCTGTGTAATCGAACACGAGATCACAAACCGTATAGCAAAAGCTTTGGGGCGCTTTTGCTAACGTTTGCCATCTATGAGGCCGCGCGACATCACTCTCTGCTTGAAGGGTAGAGTAAAGAATGCAGCCGTACGTTCGCCCCTACTGTACGGTTGTGAAACCTGGCCCCTTAGATCAGCCGACATAAAGAGGCTAGTTACGTTCGACCGCCTGTGCCTTCGCAGTTTGGCTCATACCTGGTGGGAACATCGGGTTCGACGCCTTGTTTACGGCCCAGGAAGTAGTGAACAGCTCAGCACCGTTGTTGAACGCACCAGACTCCCATGGCTTGGCCCCATATCGCGCATTCCGGCCCACTGGCTCCCGCGGCGTATTTTGTTTGTGCGCCGGGAACGTGGATGGAAGAGGAAGAGAGGTGGCCAAGCGATGACTTGGTCAAGAGAAACCTAGGCCCTTAGTTCGCAGTTGCCCTCATTTGGAGCTTCTCGGCTTCCTGTTTGAGGTCCGAAAGACAATGAACACATTTGGCTGGATACACTCGCTGATACTACTAGGGCCCGACGTTAGTGGCGTTCATGTTGTGAGTTTCTTTGTCCACCGCCATCCCGTATTGCCATACCCTCCAACCATGATCTCATTTCTTAGCATAATATAAATTCTGCACGGCATAAATTTTGACTGCACAGTAGCCGGTTGGTAGCTTTCCGGAACGATGCCTATCCGTTATTGGTAGCTCAGCTGGCTTGAATCTGTTGTGCATTTTCTTGTCTTCACTTTTCTCCTGTATTGGGGCACGATAGCTTAGGTGTGTAGCTAACGTGTATAATGATGATGACCATGACGCAAGTGACAGTTCTATAACACAGATATTGAGGGCCTTAATTTTTTCATGCTGCCAAATGAACAGCATCAACTCTGCCTTCCTCTGTCACGTCGTTGAAACAAGTACTTTTTCCTCGATGACTAGCTCTTGCGCATCTTTACGTAATCACCCATAAATTGCCTTCAAACTTCTCTCCAGGCTTCCATGGATGAAGGCTATCATTGTCTGTTGGACATCAATACTGCTGCGATTCACCGTCTACAGCTGCTTGGCATTCCACCCATTGTAATCCTCATCACCCCCTCATCACAAAAACAGTTGCAGATGGTGTTGTTACATTACTGGGAGTTGGATCGGCACTCACTGGCCCTGATTCATCCAGAGAAAACCGTGCACAAACGCAAAGACATCACTTGGCTTGCAGAGAGACTTTGGGATGAAGTACTAGCCCTTCAACGATTCCGAAGTCACCTAATAACGGACACTGTGCCAATTAACACAGAGAACACACCGGGGTTGTCTTTTTCTGAGTTGGACTGGCTGAAAAACCTGGTAGCTGTAATAGAACATCAACAGCATTCAATGGTAAGCAAAACAGCATTTTCAATAAATGTGTTTATGGATAACGTCGACAATATGAAGTTTTCACTAGTACCCGTTCGTCACAGTGCTTAGACAAAGCAGCTAGCGTACACGGCTGATCTGTTAGCTGCGTCCTGTAAACCCACCCAGACACATTGACCGTTTTTCTTTGGTATCCTCAAGTGGCTGCCTCCAATACCTGAAAGGCAAATTTAAGTAGTAGTGGTCCGTTCGGTATCAGTAAGCATACGTGGATAGGTTTTGTAACTAAAATCAGTGACCTACTGGATAATCCAGAATCTATCTCATCCCTCCCTACAGTATGCAGAGTTGTAACCGGTGTATGTTCATTAATTCGTACCCGATAGCATGATGTACCCGGGAATAAACAAAGTAATACTGGAATACTGCTGCTGTACATATGGTTTAGTGGTAAGTAGGAAAGCGTTAAGGCGTGGTCGAAGCATCCAAGCCCGTGATTTTGCTAAATATCAAGATGCTCATTTAACGGATACCATGAAATCACTATTCTCCGTGGTGTATGAGCACGAGAATTGGCGACCGATTAACTTACTACGTGTTTACCTACTTTAGAAACGCATATAGTCGTTCTGTCATGAGGTAGATGCTGCAGCTAAGGATGCATCACTAAAAGCTGGAATGAGTTCAAGAAATTTCTCCGCTCACGTCACACGATACTGCGTATTTTCTGGGACGACGCGTTCCTTATCACTGGTTGTTTTCTGCTCAAGCACTTGCGTCAAACTGGGATGTTTCCTACCCCGTCTCACACAGCCAAGCATTTGAACATCATCGAACTTAGCACTATACACGTGTACACGTGCGTACATCATCCGTTAGGAAACCTAGGGAGTCTGAGCTCGATAACATGAGAATCCTAATCCATGCACACGAGTAATTTCATTCTTGATGGGCCATGTATATAATTCTTCTTCCTAAATGATGCATCTGCAGTGCCACAAAAATGAAAATGCAGTTAGTAGTTCCACTGTCAAAAGAATGGACTTATCGTAAGCAATGCGGTAGCACTGCACTCCGAGTGTTCTCATAGCTATAATAGGCGAAAAAATAAACCTAAGGTATTTCCCGGGAGTAGGATGGAGAGTAGCGTTAAGTAAACAAATGCATGTGCCGGAGTGCGTCGTCCAACCCACTTTTAAATATGGCTGGCGTGAGTGAAGAAACAACAGATTCGAGGAGAGCATTCCATGGTTGATCCACACGAATGGAAACGAAGTTTCTACGGAACGCCAGAAGGCTCTACTGTTCTGCTAATTTCAAGGAATGGCCTCTAAGTTTGGTGTTACTGTTGAGGTGCAGTCAAGCGCGGCACACATGATTTGGATTGTGTAAAATCAAATACGACATAATAAAGTCACTTGGTAGTCGGCGAAACCGCCCGCTGAATACTACCAAACGTTTCATCTTCTACACGTCCGGAAGGCGCCGCATTTTAATGACGTATTCAGAAGCCCGACGTTGAGGATGGCCCAGTGCAGAAACGTCGCGCTTCAGCCATGGCTCCCAGGCAGGGATGGCGTATTACACATAGAAGCCAACATACGCATTCAGCTTCGGTCTAAAAATATGGTAGCAATAACATATTATTGGCAACTTCAGGTAGAGCGCTAATAGGTTAGCTTCTTACAACAACAAATTGACATGTTCATTAATGTTCACTCGCGCATCAATTCATTCCCTGAGGGGTTGCATGCACGCACGATCAGTGACACTCTCATTGGTCGTGGGACATCAGCCAATGGCACACCCTGGATGTAAGCACAGGGCTAGATGTATGCGTCTATGGGGGACAAGTATGCTCCCGAGTAGGTTGACACATTGGTGATACGGAAGGCAGACAGGGATGCGAGTGTCGGTGCGAAAGGTCACCAACAGTATGCTTGAGTGTAGCTAGTCAACCTAGGATGAGGTATGTAAACGGTCTAGCTCCGCACCCTTTTAACAGCTCTTTTGTCTGAACTATTTACCACTGGTTCGTATTCAGACCCAGCCGGTAGCCGGTGTCCCTGTACCACATTTCCAGCGTTTGTCCGAGCAGTCCGTAACGTATCGAGCACACAATATATGCTCGGTCCAAGGTGCACAGTGCCAATGGCACATTTAGGCTCCAGGTTATTATTGCTCCTGCTCGAAACAAGATAAGGCATGAAAGTAATAATAATAATAATAATAATAATAATAATGAACATATGTTTCATTAGGTTAAAAGCTGTGACAAGATTGGGCACATACCATAGACGCACAGGTGATTTCATACTCTTGCGAGAGCGATATCAAGTTATCTTCTAATATTTGTCTGCATTGCTGGCATGGTATTTGCCCCATATGTTTGTCTCATGCGATGGTAGGAGGCACATTTGCAGTTTGCTCATGTTGTAGACATTGAGGACTAATTACATTGCGTGAACGGGTATGATTACACCCATTAGATGTTAACTGGGCTTTCATTGAATGGATTTTCAAATGAACTTCCCCACGAAAAAATGACATGATGGTGTAAGAGTAGAGGTAGCTTCCCACATTACTACGAAGGGATTGCACAGTCTCACATGACCTGATGGTGAATGGCAACCGATTCCACAGAGAAGCATATATGGTGAGACGAAGCAGTATCAGGTATCAATAGGTTACACTGAGCTAGCTGATGCGATACCACCATTAACGCTAACCTACAGAAACCAATAGGTGTCTACAATGACACAGTTGAACAGAACTGTGACTAATCAGTTTATTTTTATCGGTTTCATGTCATTGCTGTTAAATGCACCCTAAGTAATCATGTATAATCCTTATAATACAGCAACGGCTTGCTGTTAATTCTGGAGTTTCGGTGCTGCATAATGGATCATTTTTCATACATTGTAGGTGTGGATTGGAGAAGAGAGTCAGATGGCCGATGAGATAGAAAATATGGCCACCATGAATGACGATCTCAACAATACTGCTGGAATGGGTAACGTTGAAATAGTTTTCCACACTATCTTCTAGCTTTCATGTGAGAAACCTAGACCACAATTTGTGTCCTGTGCCACGGTGCAATCCCCTGTGCATTAAAATATTCTCATTTTCACCTTTATTAAGAACTTCGTCGAACTTTTCCTTGCTTTGTTATTTAAAACTTCTAAATAAACGATCTTGGGTGCAGAATTGACTCGGAGTAAATGGTGCTGCGTGTCTAGAAAATGTTAATACGACTATCTCTAAAGTGAAGCGTTCGTCGATTCTGTTTCTCAATCTAAAACATTATTTACAGATAATTCAGCAAGTACCATTGAAATATTACTCCTACCTGTGTTTTTGAAAGTTGACCTCACCGGATATTACAGCTGGGTGAGTACCGCATGTTGAGGCCAATGCTTCATCTGCACACACCAAGCAGCAGACGAGAGCGCCGGTACAAGCTTGTACTACCGGATTTGCAGCGGGTCGCTCACTAACGCTGTTTCGAACGGAGAGTGGTGAATGTATGGAACAACCCGCCGCAGCACGTAGTTGAGGCAAAGTCAGCGTCGGAATTTGATAAATTCCTGGACAAACACTTTGCCGAAATAAAATATATCGAGCGCAATCCATCATCATCATTATGCACGTTAGCTAAAGGTGTAAACCACCTCAGCTACTGTGCCGTAATACATAAAAAAGAAAAGAAGTACCGCAGTTACATGCCAGCTGAGCTATCAGCAGTGGCTAGGCATTGTTCCGGTAAGCTACCAGCCGGCTACTAGGCAACAAGAAAAATTATGATGTAAAATTATAGTGTGCTGCGAAATGAAATCGTGATTGGAGGGGGAGGCTAAAGGGGATGGGGAGGGACAATGAAACTCACGGCGTGAAGGCCACTGAGATCGGCTCCTAGCCATGTCATCAAGTGTATCTAGTCAAACATGTTCATCGTCTTTTGGACCCCAATCAGGGAGCCGGGACTCTCCAACCGAGGCCAGCTTCGAAGTGAGGGCTTGCATTTCTCTCCATCAATTAATCGCTTTGCCACCTCTCCTCTTCTTCCATCCACTCCCCCGGCACGCAAACAACGCACGTCACGGGATTCGGTGGGCTGGCATGCGTAACACGTGGCCGAGCCATCGGAGCCTAGTGCGTGAAATGACGGTGCTGAGAGGTTCAGTTCCTTTTCCTGTGCCATAAACAAGGCGTCGAACACGCTCGTTACTCACGCTGTGTTCCCACCAGATGTGAGCCAAACTGCGAAGGCACCGATGGTCGAACGTAACTATCCAACATAGCAGTCTTTGTCCATGAGTGACATCAGATGTAGCTACACAGATATCTCTAATTGCTGCTTCCAACCAGTAATCAGTACTCAGTAATTATAATTTCAAAACGCAACGACTTTTGGGGATGAGATACAAGCACTGGATTACGGCAACGTAGGTATGAAGTAACAGGTTCCTTCGATTTTTAGACCCCTTGAAGTAAAGGCGTACTCTCGTATTTGATCTTTAACATGGCATTTCCCAACAAGTGTCAGGCTTCGAAAGTCGATAAATTGAACGTAATAATAAAATCCGTATTGCTACGACTATTTTTGTGCGGAATGAGCCGCGGTTTATCACAGTTAGCTTCTACGTCATGATGGCCTGCAGCAATGGCCGATGGCTTAGTGTCACAAGACACTGCATAAGGATTTAATCAGCAGGCATAGAAAGATTGTGGGTTCCACTACAGCTGTGACCAGGGGATACGTACTACTCAAGTATCCCGATAAAAAGCAACATACATCTAGCAATTTTCCGGACACGTAGAAGTTTTTCTGTTGCGAATAACACTTACTGGACTATGGATGCTGATCTATGCCACAGTCAATGCGACAAAACAATTCAGTGTGGAAAAGTTCACAATGCCGTTCAATTTGTATGTATGGAGTGGCCACGTAGTGATCCAATGTGGACAGTTGTAGCTATTGAATTCGGAAAATGCGTTAGCTTCAGGTACACAACTAGTGAGTTTGCAGGCTGTTGCTTGATTATAGGCCAGCCGCCAATAGTAAGCAGATAACTGATTATAATTTATAATTATGAACAACTTTTAAAGCAAAACAACTCTGTTTTCTTTTGTAAAGGCACCCTCAGGTAGTTTATTTCTTTTCACTGGCCTCACAGTTAGCATTAATCTTACAGTGTGTTTTTGTTGCATGTGTGTAGGTGTCTACATTTGTCCTTCTTTGTTCTCTCTCTGTGATGTCGGTACTCCATGATAAAGTCTCAGTCCAAGCAACAGAGGTGTACCTGCCACGAATTAAAACATTGTCGTTCGCCCTGTTTCAGATATCATTATACCCAGACAAAGGTTTCACGGAGATGTGTTAGCAAGTTTCTCGGAGTTTTGAATCTCGGAAGTTAGCGTATCAAACCGAATTGTAACGGAGGCAATCACTCCACAAATTGTTGTAGCTTACATCGAGTTTTATAGAGTCTAATTGACAGACTGCTCGACGCTGGTGAGGACTCGGTAAAAGTGAGGCAAATTACCCGGCTTGGAAAGCAAGCTGATCAACAAAATCGGCCCATAAGAATCACTTTTGTGGACGGAGGAAATCCAAGATTGATCATGTCCCGCCTAAGTAGGCTGAAAGGTCTGAAGATTCATGTTCGTCCAGACCTGGACCTAGTAAACAGGGAGCTGCTCAAATCTACCATCATTGGGCTGAAAACACTTACTAGTGAGAGGGAAACAAATCTTCCTGTCGCAAATTTTCGGGTGCTTTCCAACAATCTGCGGATCAGGATAAACAGGCTGCTCACACTCCAAGCAGGCCCGACGGCTCCTGCTGCGGCCTGAGAGTAACCTTCACAAACGTTTGCAGTGCTATGAACAAGCGCGATTAGCTTAGTTGTTTCGTCGCGGCTGAGCGGCCAGACGTAGTGGAACTCACAGATACATGGCTGCATACAGTTATACACCCAAGAACTTGAACTCAACGGTTACTCGTGCTTCCGATGCGATAGACTGAAGAATGCCCACCGTGGTGTCTGAATTTACATCCGGTCTTCCCTGTGTGGGAGCCTTGTGAGCACCTACTGAATTGACGATGCTTCGTGTGAGCTACTGTGGTGCTCCATCCGCCTCAGGCGCAGAGAACTACTTGTGGGCACAGTTTATTGCAGCTCCCTGCGTCGTTGTTTGGATTGGCTGCCCCATCTTCAAGCCCACATGAGTCGTCCACACTTTCTACTTATAGGCGAGTTTAACTGTCCTCGGATACGATGGCCTGACGTGCATTTTTTGACTGGACATAGTGAGGTTGAAGCCAAGTGCGTGGAGTTGGTACTTGAAGCTGGTGCATCGCAACACGTATGCCAGCCAAAAAGCATAACAGCAAGCTCAACTCCGTCCTGTCTCGAGCTGATGTTAACGAGCTACGAACAACTAGTGCTTGACGTTCGGATCCTGGAGCCCCCGGCTACAAACGACCACACAGTGCTCATAGCCGTATTCACCTCCGCTGGAACCAGCTCACAACCACTGGAAAACGGAGTTCGATGGCTTCGCTCGAGCCGCAAACCAACTGAAATGGTCTTTGTCACAAGCTGCATCTGTGGGAGACTGTAGAATATTTATAAAAGTGGGGTTGACCTCATTGTGTTCCCGATTTGTGCCATTGAAATATCAGAAGGTTGGACCGATTAAGTCACATTGGTTTGACAAGGAGTATGCAAATCTGGTTGGGAGGCGGCGCAGACTGTGGGACAAATTCCTCCTCTCTGGCTCTGCCATTGATTACGAAGGGTATAAAAATCAATGGAACCATTGCAACAGTGTAACAAGGAATAAGTGCCGACATTTCGAACAGCAGCTTGCAACTGCCGTGAAGACCGCCCCAAAGAGAATCTTTGCTTACGTGAAGCGACGCCTGAAGCCGGCAGGTGATGTGCGAGTGCTGGATGGCCCGGATGGACAGCCCCTAACCTCCAGCACTGAGAGTGCGTCCGTGTTGGCGGCGCACTTCGCTTCCGTATTTGCGAATGACCAGGTGTCTGTTCTGGTTTCGATGTCTACCGCCTTTACCGAACTCGACAGTCTGGATTGCGGCGTTGAAGAGGTATGTCGACTACTCGCCAACCTTGACGGCACCAAACCTTCCGGATCTGATGGGCTTCATCCACTGGTTCTGAAGTCACTTTCGACCATCATCTCTCCGCTGTACTAAGCGTTGCTCACGGATCTCAATGGCATAGTGTTCATGGCATCAGCCGTGAACCACTAGGCTCTGATTTCCACCCTAGCTTAGGCTATCTCCACCTGATGAGTCCAAACCAGGACGAAACCGCGGTCGTGGGGTGCCAGTGTTGGGATGATCAACACCAAAATATTTCCATTTCACATTCGGTCCTTGTGACCAGAATGACCAAAGTCCATCTCAAGTGAACCGAGATCTCAATAGAGGTTTCCTGTAGCAACCAAACCACACAGCGGATTCTCCAAGTCCAACGTTGTCATCATCTCTCCTGTCGTTACTGAAGTTTTCAACAGGTAGCTGTACGAAGGTTCGTTGCTAATTTAATGGAAATGTTCGGTAATGAAGCCCATTCAGAAAAGCGCCGACCCTAGCAAACTGGACAACTACAGGCCAATTTGTCTGACACCGATTTTGGCAAAGGTTGCTGCAAAAATCGTGAAGAAGAGATTGCTGCAGTTGCTACAGTCAAACGGGGTCCTGACGTCCGCACAGCACGGTTTTATGCAAGATCACTGATGCATTACAAACCTGCTTGTGACGAGGCATGAGTGGTTGAAGGCAATAAACAAGGGGAAATCCGTCGACGTGATATTCATCGATTTCAGTAAAGCGTTCGACAAGTTCAGCCATGCGGTTCTCCTTCACAAACTCAGGATGTGTGGTGGCGGTGGCTCACTGCACCGGTGGATCCGAGACTTTCTTGTTAGACAAAAGTGGAAGGTACAAGTCGACGACCATCTAACTGACTGGTATCCATCTATAAAAGGGCTTGCATCAAGGCACTGTGCTAGGGCCCACTCTGTTCCTGATCCGCATCAATGATCTAACTCAGCTTCTCCGGTCGTCGAGTGCCTTGTTTGCGGAAGACATGAAGATTTGGAGAGAAATTAATGCTCATGACGACTGTGGCCTACTTCAGCAAGACCTCAACCACCTATCCACATGGTCTGCAGCAATTCGTCTCCCGGTCAACCCAGTCAAGTCTGTATTCATGAGCCTGGGGAAGGGTACTGATGGCCGAACCTACACCCTTGACGGCCAACCATTATATCCCACACCCTCCGTGAAGGACCTAGGTGTACTCTCGCGCTACGATTTGAAGTCCGTGGACAACACAAACAGGCTATATCCTAACGGACTGCGCATGCTTCGGCACATGGTCTGAAGAGGTTGCCACTCGCCTCTTCTCTTCCATCATTAGACCAATGCTAGAGTGCGGTTCGCCCGCCTACTTTCCGATTGCCCGAGGCGACTCACAAAGGATCGAACGGGTCCAACATGTTGCTAACAGGCTCATCCCGAGTTTACGTGGCTTGGGGTATGAAAACCGGTGCGAGAAACTAGGACTCTGCACCTTGTGCTACCGTCTGGTACGAGTCGACCTCATTATGACCTACCATATTCTACATCTCGGTGACGTCCCCATGCTGAGGCCAATGCTGCACGTACGAGGGCCATGCAGCATACGCGGACACAGATACAAAATTGTTGTACTGGATGTGGAAGGTGTTCCCCACCCATTGTGCTTCGAACGTAGAGTGATAAATATTTGGAACAGTTTGCCTAAACACGTAATGGAGGCAACATCTGTGCAGCAGTTCAAAACGTTGTTAGATTTATATTTTACCACTATTCGATGCAGAGAACGGCTGCACAATTATGATGACATATCATATTTGTAAGTCCTGCAATATCTTGAGTCAGATAATTTAACTGTTACATGAGAACGATAACGATATTCACGGCTAACGATTTTTATAAGGTATTTCACCATATTTCGAAAGAGTTGAACAGAATTCATTTCTACTTGCTCTATAATCTAGTATTCAGCAGTAAAATAGGTCAAGGGGCCGTGATTGCTTAATTAGTGGCATTTAAAACGCTGTACTTCCTAAATATTCATTTCATCTACTGACCCATTACAGATTTGAAAGATACTCAAGCCTACCCTAGGATACGAAAATCCAGCAGTTGCGGGTCAAAGCACCAGTACCACGCCGAACGCGCTGGGACTAAAACAACTGGGCAAGCTGACGGTCGTGGCAGATACCGTGATCTAGCGAGTGAATTCGCCCGTGCAAAAGGAGATGCAGCCAACGATTTAAAGAGTATGGTTGGTCGTCTGAAGCCCATATCAACAACAAGCAATCCGGCACCACAGGGTGATATACTGGAGTTAAAAGCCGATAATCTGTTGCTGCGCAGACAGAATTCAACACGCGAACAAAACAAGAGTATCCGGACAAACACTTCGTTGGATGAATCAATGGACTTGTTTCCTGGTTGGTGTGAGTATATTAGTTCAGTTGAACCTTACAGCAAATCCCTTTTATTCGTTGTATTTTATCGTAAGAACAGATTTTATTTCCATGGGGTTTGTGCGTATTACAAAAACACTCAGTTTACGAGCAAATCACTTTACTAGCCAGAAAAACAAACCTTAACGAAGTCCTACTCCATATATGTTAACCACACGTATATCTCTACTCAAGAAGGTCCATTGAACGCCACATACTGCCCTACATTTTCAAAGGCTTCGGGTTTGATGACCTTTGTGTAAGAAAGTGTCGGTATCGTATATATACCCAAGCAGTAACCAGTTTGATATACAATCGATCATTTGTGACATGTGTGAAGAGTTTTATCCCTTTTGAGATGAGCCCTGTCGAGTAAGCTTCTGAGTGTAGAACACTGAGCAGCAAAGAAAAATTCCCTATTTAGGAAACAGAGTTTATGCTGTGCATAAAATCGACAGGGCAGCTCACGGTCTGCTATTTTCCATTGTCGCCTCCCATAATGACTGCACAAACTTGTCCCCATATTTGCCGTTCCTCTACTGTGCGCAGTCCAATCCAGTGTTGCTTCACACAATTCCGTTTAGATACAGCATTGCTCTCACGGCATTCTGATCAGCTAGCATAAATTGAGTCGAACGCAGTGCAGCAATTCTCCGTTATTCCACTCCCTCGTTTGGCCAATCGCCATTAGACTCCGTGTAGGCAGCCGAGATTTGTTAGCACGAGTGTCCGGCACAGTCCGGTTCGTCCTTGCCTATAACGACACCACGTTTCACTAGCGCGACACAGGCTGAAGTCTTCTGTATCCCTCTAGCCTTTGCCTGAAGGTGACTTCTATCCACTGGTACAGTGTCCGTTCTGTTCATCTGAGATGCTAACTACCCCTGCAGAACACTAGCATCCAGTGGCAGGACAAGGGAAGCTCGTTTCTAAACGCATCAGCAGCGTCCCACAAACTGCATAAGAGAGCATGCGTATCTTTCCACACATGGCTAATTATGGCATAATTCATCGAGAGTAAATCCTGTCGCTCAGTATTTCATGTTATCAGTTTTCACTTGTGAACCCTTATTCAAGTAGGATATGGGAGGACACCTTCAGTGTATGTACAAGAGATTCATCGATCATTTTTAGTTTTCTCGATTCAATAAAAGGGGAAGCACAGAGTCCTCATTAGCCTCGAGGTTTGGAATACCACAAGCAAAACCAGCGTTCAAAGGAATGACGAAAGTAATTGCATTTATCGATCCAAGTATTCACACAGGGACTTGGTGCCAAACATTCGCTTTAAACACAGTCGGATGGGTTGAAAAAACAACTGGCATTTTTGTACAAGTAACCATGAGGAACCTAGCGTATACATGATTTCGTTCTTCAATTTACTGATATCCAGAACTCGATGTTTTTGGGGCAGATACAATCAACTAATTCGAGGAAGTTAGACATCTCCCATTGCTTAACCTACGAACTTGTGTAGAAAGTTGGAAAAACCATTAACAATGTTCTACTGAGATTAAAAACCAGTATCTTCAATTCTGCAACTAGTATCTCGTTTTGTTGCAACGGAGCGATGGCCATTGAGACCTTATTCGACTACCTGAAAAAGTGTAAGGTCTTGGCACCTAGAACGGCATGGCTTCCGTCAACACCGGTCATGTACCACCAACCTGCTGGGACCGCGCTTATTCCTGGCATTTATTAAAATGTATCGCCTCTATTTTCTTGTTATTAAACAGTGAAGATTCTATTTGCTTCAACGTGACCTGGACTGTGTTCATGAGTGATCCACCGGAGGCCCACTGCAACGTAAAACCGTTAAAAGCAAGTTGTTTCATGTGCCCCATCAGTCGATGAGCGAGTACGAACTTGGAGAGTACACCCTGCAGAATGCCTCCCAAGAGGGTGAATTTTTGATGCCGGTCTAGGAAGATCTCGGATGCTCGAAACAATCAGTGAGTGTTGAAAACAGGTACTCAACAAGCCGACCTTCTTCGGGGAGCGTTCAGTCGGCTTGACCCCACAGTTTCCCCACAAATGCTTGACGCCTACGTTCGACCGCATGTAGAATGCGCCATCCTGGCATGGCACCCGCGATAGAAACAAGATATTGCTGCTCTCGAGACTCCTTAGCGAAGAGCATTCAAATGCGTTAAGGGCCTCTTCTGTCTGCCATACCAGCATACATTGAAGTTGTTAGGAATAACGACGCTTGCCTGGTGACCTCGTAATGGTTTGCCATATTCTGAAGAATCCAAACCACATTTGCCGTCCGCTGATGGAATTGAGCCAAAAAAACAACCTGACAGGTCATCACTTACAGCTGACAGTACAGTAAAGCCGGCTGGAGTGCCGTCGCAATTTCTTCGCCCTTCGAGTGTGTCAGTTGTGGAGCGTGCTCCCAACTTATGTTGTTAATACGCCCAACTTAAGAGATTTAATAAACGACACGACAGAAACATTGTCCCACTCGCGATTCATTTTCCGACTTGTGGTAGTCCACCAAAATGCGTATCATTTTATAGTCTCGTCTACTTTTCTAAATTCTTTTCACCACACTAGAGTTGTTAAGGATTGCTTTGTACTCCTAATCCACCATTGTTCGATTGTACCCCCGGCAACACTTCAGCACATATTTGCGAAAGGTTCATTGCCGAGCGACTGGAAATGCTCAGTGGCAGAGTCGATTCTTAAGGGTGGCAATCCAGCAAAGTGTACAACTACAGGCCGATTTGTCTGACACCTATTTTGGCCAAGGTTACCGAGAACTACAGCTGCTCCCATCAAAAGACACACTGATGCCCACACAGCAAGGTTTATGCTAGGCCGCTCATGTGTTATCAACCTGTTGGTGACTAGGCCTGAATGGTTGGGTCAGCGAACCAGGGAGTCTGTCGACGTAATCTACAAGGGTTTTAGTAAAGCGATCGACAAGGCGAACTCCAGGGTCCTCCTAATTATCTGACCGACTGGTATCCCTGTAAAAATGGTGTACCTGAAGGCACGGTGCAAAGGCCCACTCTGTTCCTTAACAAAAGCAATGATCCGCCTCAGCTTCTTCGGTTGCCGTGTGTTGTTGCGAGTGACCTGAAGAAGTGGAGATTGATAAGTACTTCCGACGACTGTGGCCTGCTTCAACAAGATCTCAACCGCCTCTCCAAAGGGTCTGCGAAATTCCGTCTCGTTGTCAACCCATGCCAGTCGGTAGTCATAACATGTAGATGCGTGGTGACGGCCAAACTTACACCATTGACGACCGATTGTTGCTTCGAGCATCTTCCCTGAAGGACCTAGGTGTACCCTTGCGATGCGAGGTTAAGTATGCTGATAACATGAACAGGCCATATGGTAACATACTACGCATGCTTTTGCGCTCAAACTCAGCTTCTGTATTTTGTCTGAAGCGGTCGCCCCCGTCTCTTTTCTTCCATCGTAAGACCAATACTTGATTAGGATTTCCCCGCCTACTGCCCAATCCCCCAAGGTGATGCACAGAAGATCGACCGGGTCCAACCTTTTATTACCATAATCATTCCGCGTTTACGAGGATTACCCTACGAAGGCTGGCGGAAGAAACTCAGACTCGATACCTTATGCTATTGTCGGGTACAGGTCGACCTTATCATGACTTATTGCACATCACATCTTTATGACTTCCCCATGTTGAGGCCGCTGCTTCACTTGCAGACGCCATGTAGTACACGTGCACATGGGTAGAGGTTTGCGATGTCGGATATAAAACTATTACCCTACACCTGTGCTTCGAACAGAAAGGAGTAAATTTTTGGAACAGCCTGCCAGAACTAATCGTGAATGCCAAATCTGTGCAGCAGTTACTTTAAATTGCACCACCATTCTATTTGGAGAACGTTCGCACACTAGCAATGAAATCTCATATGTGTAAGCCCTGTGATCCTGTTAAACATCTTTGTATGTTACAGATGAACTTGAAGAACAATTAGATAATGTTGGTTGGCAGATAACTTGTATAAGAATTTTATTATATTGCGATGGGGTTGTATAGATTTAACTTTCTAATTGATCCCACGTTGCAGTATTCAGACTAGTATGTAGATGAAGCCAAAGGTACATGTCCGCGCTTGGTCTGGTTACCCGTCTAACTGAAAAGGGAACTACGGGGTGCAGGCTACTACAGAGAATCGGTGCCCACCGAGTGGTACAAGGTGCAACCTCGCATGCCAGTTTACCACTAATTCACACAGGGCTGTAACTTGAACACTCAACTAAACCACAAGAAATAGTCTTAAAAGCGAATTTTGCTACTCTATCTAGGCATACACATAGTATCTCATTTAGATAGTGTGCAATCAACAAAGTAGTCGATATAAAGTAACTGTACACTCGGAGTTGATGATTCCCTCATACCTTGTAAGGAGTCTACAGCATCCTTTGCTACTACAGCGGTTGTGATCCACTGCAGAAGTCGAATCCTCGTAAAACGTTTTCTGACCCACTAAATCCCGAAATACAGGCGGAAAACCCAAGTTTCGATGGTCAATATATTATCTCAAATCCAATTTCAGCACCATTCCGATTTCGGTGCTCCCTATCAGCCATTCACTCTAACTTGATGTCCGATGCCCAGAACACTTCATTTTCTTTTCTGACAACACGTGATTGAGAGTGCGAGCACCCAACTGTCCAACTGCGTTCCTTACCATGTCTTTAACTCATCCGTCGATCAGAGTCCAAACGATAGGAGTGTGCCGCAACTTTGAGCAGATGTTTGCTTTTGACCGGCGCTTTGATCTGTCCGTTCAGTTTCTCTCTACTTATTTGATGTGTGCTGCTAACTCCAGCGGTTGCATCAAAACAAACTTCATCCATCTCGGCTGGAGCCATGACTGTTTCCGATTAGAAAAACATCCGTAACTTGGCTCACTGATGACTCGTGAACTCTGACTATAACTCTGTGAACATGTAATGTAAAGCAGATATTTTATTACTAAACGTTTGAACATGTATGTAGATAGAAAGTAAACCAAAGACAAGAAGTTAAACAATATTAGTAACCAAGCTCAGCAGAAATAACGGCGACAACTGGTACACACGAGTACAGAGCAGCGGTAAGAAATGGGTGATGAAACTAAAACTTTCTGCGCTTTTCATCGGCTGACTGTTGATAAAAAGAAAAGACATAAGGATCTAATTCTAACATTAACGTCATTCTCGAAAGCGACAACTGCTAGACTTTCGACTGTTAAACAAAATCAAGTAAGAGGAACATGATAAAATACAAGCCGACAACTTGAAAGTCGTGCAGTTTTACGCGCTTTTAGAACTGCATTAACATAGTACAGCGTTCTGGCTACCGTCAAATTTCAATGCACGCCCGTCTTTCTTTTCGTAAAAGAAAAGTGAAGGCGTCCTAAGCATGTACCCAATGGACCAAAATAATCCATATACGATGCCCAACACTTTCTGGCTAAGCTCCAGGACTTATGAATGGATCACAATGGAACGATGGCATCCTTAGACGTAAACGCTTCACTGTTGCCCTTCAGATTGCAGCAGGAGGAAGAAGTCATTGCAGGACGCCTGGATGAACAGGACGACTGGTAATACGTGTGAGCATCTTCACTGATGCAATGCGATTTTATACACACCCGACGGCGAGACGCATAGGTGAACCAAAGGGATCGCCGAGCATCATAAATCAGCAAAGATATGGTCCTACGCAAAATGAAAGAGAATGTGATGATAATGCTTAATAAAAAGCTGCTAATCCACCATGACGATGCTTAAACTTACTCAATCAACTACATAACAATGCCATGGATAGCATCCAAGTTGCGATGAAAACACTGATCCGAAACAGATTCCATTTCTTGAACGGATTGATAACCAAAACGATAGAGCTTGGAATGCAACCAGCCGCTCAGATAAAAGACAATTATGCTGACTGTTACGACTTTCAATGGTAACTATCAAAAATGCCAAATATGAGCTGCGTATGGACACTATTTCACATAATTGCGTCATCCTACAGCACTACTGGAGCGGAACAAGTGGGATATATGCATCTCGTCAGGACTTTCAACCGCAGCGAACAACCACGCAGTTTCACTTAAGAATGTCGGCTGGTGGCCAAGTAGTCTGTACGCCTGGCTTGCAATCATATGGTCACTGTTTCGAATCCGCGTAAGGGCGGACGTCCTCGCGGGATACTCAGCTCATGAGTGACTGGTTGTGGTCGCGCGGCAGCGAAGCGCCGTTACGGTGTGCAGCTGACCGTTTGCTTATTTATTTATGCTTAAAACACAAGCCTATAAGAATTGAATGTACGGTGACGGCAGAGAACCAGATCGTTTCTACCCGTATGAGGAACATAACTAAAATGGTTGCGAAATTCTCAAAACAGATCCACAGCACCTTAGTACACAAGTCCTTTACCAGCTACGGTACCAAAATCGGCGGGAGCGCGAAATGCACAAACAACAAAATGTCTTACAATATATGAATTGCAGAAGATAATCATGGGGATAAATCAAGGTAATAGCGACTAAAATATGAGTGTACAAAAGACCAATGAAGCACATTATACGTCGCGACTGATCTCGGCACTTTATGCTCTAAAGGACGTAGCTTCAAATGGAAACAACATATATTCTGAGCTAAGAAGAAACGTAAACAGGGCGTGATCCTTGATGTTTGATTCACCACAATGAACTCAAGAGCATGAGTATCGACGGTGACTTTACACATTAAAAAGTACGGTTGAAGTGTTCGAAGAAAATCAAAAACTGCATTTCGTTGCAACCCAATCAAATAGTAATTGATGAGGAGAACAGCCAGCGGAAACTCAACAGGCCAATGTTATGCTTGCCGCAACACAAAGTACGAGAATACCACCGACGTCACAGTTGTGTATTTTCAATCAGTGTACAGTACACAATGAGACGCTAGACACATAAAATAAGGCTAATCTAGAGATCGGTGTAATATCGTGCGGTACTCATCCTTGCATTTACTTAGCAGCTGAATTCGCAACCAACCGGGCAGCTTTTCAAACCTGAGGATGAAGCCACCCTCGGTGACGGAATGCTTACAATCTTTGTCGTCCAGCTCGGCAAAATAAGCATTCAGAAACCGAAAAAGCAGATTTAAACTACCACTACGGCAATTCGCTTCTAAGATGTTACCAACCACTGTGACGTTCTGGTATTGAATGACAAGTATTTCGGCTCAGGATTTCGACAGTGGTTATGATCTAGAGCTCATCAATTTACCACACCATCCTAATTAGCATCACGGCTAGATGCATACTCCAAGAACTCTTTGCTCGTCCATGAAAGTCGAACGAAACTTTCTGACTCCGGATATGCGACTGACTACCCTAGCTGATGATGGTTTTCATAGTTTCCAGCTTCATGGCGATGGGGTGGGTCGTTCGCTTGTTGGTTAGGTATCATATTCTTCGCACCTCACCGTTAGCAGTTCCCTGGCTTTGCTTTGCAGCAATTTGGAATGCAACAGCATAAACAATAACATTAAATGAATGAGTTACCAAGTAATTAATACATTAAACCTACTAAACATGAGTGGTTTTGAAATTTATAACCTTATATTCTTTTAGGTGTAAAAGCACGGAACTTAAAGCACCGTTTCCGAGTACAACTGATCGCTGTCAACTTGGGGTGGTATACCACTTGTCAAGACGAACACAATGTATTATTTACTTATTTATTTATTTAGTTTTTAAAATAACACGGGTTGTCAGGTCTGTGCTTCGCCATTCAGTAGGATACAAATACCTATGATTGGTTCGCATGCGAACTAGCCTGAATCCACTCTTGGTTCAGGTGGCTAATGTCGTGTTTGGTTATCACCCAACATTGCCTGCCTGGCAATGAGTTGGGGATTTTGTTGTAATCCTTTGAACTTCGTCGCAACAGTTTCTAAGTCAAACAGTCGTCCACATGCCCAACAATTTTTAAATGCTATGTCGTACATAACTACCGTCAGTGGACATTATCTTTTTCGGGTCCAACACCGTTCTCTGTAACTTTTATAACTTGCATGGCAGTGGAGGATGAGATGCGCTTTATCACACTTGGTATGAAACTAATTACCTTTCCGACACTGTCTCCCTTGGCCAAGTGGCAAAAACTCCTGACTCGTGGTGCAGGTCGCTGGTGGTCATGGGTTCGAATCCTGATAGGTCCAATACATGTGCACTACTGATGATGTTCTCAAGGTTGAAAGCGTTTATGACCAAACACATTACAGCCGTGTCCTCTTACGCATCTTGTGCTTACTTGCAGTAGTTAACTGAAAGGTTTAGAGCAACTAGCATCCTGCTAGCTTGAGAGTGTCAGTGTCCGAAAGCGACTTCGGAGTATCCGCATAGGGTAGTGCTTGATGTTCTAGACGGAGTGCAGTGGTATAAAAATAGCTAGACAAGGCTTTGGCCTGTTACGTAGGCCATTCGGACAATTCAATTGACAAGTATACTATGAGCTAAACGTATACGGGAGGTTGCAAGTTAAAGGCCCTGTTCTGTCTCTGTAGCTTTGACGAAAGTCCGATCTTGCTCTGTTTGTTGTTCCTGAGTAAATGACAGTCAAAGACCAATAAAGGTTGAAGCAAATTCCACGCCGTAAAAGGCTGGGGTAATTTTGCTCAAGCACTGGATGACACGACAGGCGCGGAAGACCAGATTCCGGACAACCCGAAGCATGTGCAACACCAACAATTGCATCAATTCCATCAAAATGTTGAGAGGCCACTAGCGGAAATCCGTGCAACACCACAGTCTTTCTGATTGTCGTGGTAACTTGTTTCTCATGTGTGTGTAAGCCGTGGAAGGCTAGTTCGATAGAAACACGCAGCTACCTCTCATCTGGCTGCTTTAAGAGGTTATTCGCTGTGACACATATCCAGGACCTGTATCGTTTGCAATGTGTATTATAAACTGCCTTAATTTGAACAAGTGTATCCCATTGGAGTTTCCTTATTTTTGGATTAAGAGCCCATCTTCGGTAACTAGCGAATTTTTCCCCAATTCTGTCAATTTAAACATTAAAACCGATCACCCATTTGGTGTTGTCAATTCTTAGTTTGTAGCACATCATTATGCTGTTGTCCCACTTACAATACTCCTGCTTATTTGTTCCAGCCGCTACAGGGGGAAGACATTACCAACACCTCCACTCCAGCTCGTCGAATTTGGAACTGGATTTGCTGCCTTCCTTCAGGACACATGCCGTTGGTATTTTCTTTAACGAAAATGATATGCTTGAAGGGTATGGTAATGGCACTATTCAATATTAACACTACTTCAATTTTGCCACGAATTTTATTCATATATCTTGACATATGTAGCTAAAAGTAACACTGATCGATAACGTATATGAGTATATTTCATCTGCCGTAGTTATAAGAATGAACGATATACTGGCATCATCCGGGATTCGCGCGAAAACTGACTGGCGACACCTAAGTAGGTGTGTCAAAGCTGTTAGTATTCTGTGTATGAACTGTGTAAGCACACTTCTAGTCTTTTATGTTGTTGCGCAGTTCCTGTTTACCTTGCAAATCTAATCACTTTAATTTGTAAACACTACAATGATATCCAACGCAGATAAGTTTTAGCAGGTTTTCCTAATCCTAAATGAAGTTCGTTGACTACCTGGATGATACATATGACTGCTTAGCATACCTGGATTGAAGTTTTCACTAAACATCTGTATGCGTTGCACTGAACCCACACATTGTTTTTACAGTAAGGATGCTTTCTTGATCTGAAGAATCATGAATCCTAGTGGTTGCTACTATACTGTGTTTGCGTGGTACGGCTTTGTTTTGATAATACTCCTTTTTTATCGACTTTAATCTGGTTGAAAATCTTTATCATCAGAAGAAAGTTTAAACGGAACTTAAGTTGTATAGTTGGGGTACATCGCCAATTAATTTGTTCCGGCAGCAATCAAGCAAGCCTCAATCAATTGATTCTGGGACTCATCAGTTAAGCGTATCAGGTCTGCCCACTGAAGGGTTAGTAAGTGCGATTTTCCTCTTCGAATCAGTGGTTACGACTATCGGATTACAATGACAGCTGTACTTGCTCGGATCGTAGTCACTATTTCTCTGCTCACATCTCGCATCTACTGTGAAGAGCCAGGCATGGACTCCAGGGGCTTACTTCCCTCGTTGTGCCGCATTCGCTCAATATCACTATGAACTAAAATTAATAATCGCTTATTTTGTAGTGCAATGTGTTGGTGACTCGTATTGGTTAATAAGAGCGTCGTACAGACACCGCTAAGCCCATAAATCACTGAGTGGTCGTCCGGTTCCCTCCAAACTCTTCGAAAACCCATGGAGCAACCGTCCGATGAGCAGTTAAATCTGGAAAACCAGTTTTTGCAATAAGATGCTGAGAAAACTAAAGCAAGGGGAACACATACAGTAGGCGAGTTCCAAAGCTACACAGGCCGCGGTGCCGCTCCCTATCATAGCACGAGTAGCAGATAGGGTCGCCCTCTCATCACAGGCACATTATCCGAATATCAGATGTCGAATTCCTGTGGTTCTATCAATGTTCTGCAAAAAGTTGTACCTTGAGTTATCTGCTCCTAACAATACTCGATGAACTATTCGTGGACAAAAGGAGGAGCTGTGGAGTACCAGCGTTGCATTTACAACTAACTGCGCAATGCAATTGGACGGCTATTTGCACGCTTGCAGACTGTAGGCAACACAGAGGCCTCGTATAACGCGCTTGTAAGCAGAACTTTTCTAAAAATGCTGGTAAAATCTAAACTTGATTAGAAAATGAAATTTTACTTGCCTGCGATGTCTGTACTGAGCAGCGAGCAATGTACTATAGGACGAATTGCACAATACCCCGCATAGTTAGTTGCCATGTGGTTCGCTAGCATGCACAGCAGTCCAGGGACCTTATTCTCAACCACCACCCTATTCGGCCGCTGTCTCTTGTCTCAGAGCAAAGAAAAGAGTGGTGCTTATGCACGCTAGACGGATAAACGGCCTTCCAGTATTTTTACACGTGTCGTTGACCTTATGACAGGAATTACAGTTAAACTGAAGAGTCTCGGGTTACGTCGTTCATAAAGATAAACAAAACACGCAGCTTTGAGCGAACAATTGTTTTCGATTAATCCTTCGTCAACCTCATACAATAATATACATTAGGGTAAAGTCTGTTGCAATCATCAGTATAACTAAGAAATAATTGATCAGAAAATTTAACTTGTGATCATGATGGCAGTCATATGATCACATGACTGAAGACAGGTGGAGTTGCGGAGTACCATCACTTCCTTCCCGTCTGATGGTCGGCCACGGCAGCTGTAGTGTTTGCATCACCTTTTCTGGCTACACAAGTCCGGATTTGTCAGGCGAATGCATGCTGCCTCAGCGGTGGCAAATAGGCTTGCTCTTAAACGATGGTTATGCGTTGGTGGTATACTGTAGAGAATCTGAAATGATGTTCGTTTGTCTATCTGGTGGCCTGTGTTTATTAGATGGTTCGTAATCGCGCTGTCCTGTTCACGCGATTGTAGAGCCAACCTGGGAGGTGTTCCTTAATTCTCTTACCTAAATGTCTGGTCGTCCGTCCAATGTACCTGGCCCCACACGGGCAGATGAACAGGTAGATTAATATTGATTGGAGATGCTCAGGCACTCGGTCTTTGAATCTCTGAACGAGTAAAGGTCTGCTGGTGAAAACCACATTCAGCCGACTCGCATTAAAGTTCTTTTTGAAGCTTTGCTGTAGTCATCACGTGCATGTTTCGGCCGCACTATTTCCTTTGAATGACAAAGTCAGCTAAAGCTGTATCTTTCAACGATTTGTTTTGATACTTTGGGTATGCATCACCTAATACGGGTTTCGATAAATCGCTCCGGATTTCCGTTTTCGAGAAGCGTTCCTTTGATTCCTAGGAGTTCGGCTTTTTTGTTGTCTTCGCTGCAGATTTTGTATGCCTGATCATTTAGTGTTCGCACCAGCTTTCTTCCTTGGCTGAATGGGGCGAAGCTATATAAGTTCATGTATTGTCCTGTCCAATATGGTTACCTGTATACTTATATTTGGATTAATCTGTCGGTTCACAACATTGAGCAGCGGCTGACAATATGCTGAATCCCATCAGTCTATAGATTGCTCCTCATAGATTGGAAGATACATTCCAGTTCGTCAACGAAATTCGAGCAATGAATTTCCAAGAGTATCGGATGTTTTCCTTAGACGTTTTCTCATTGTTTACCAACGTGCCTCTTATAGAAACAGTCAACTACCTGGATCGTACATTCACCAGCATAATATAAACAACAGTATACGAAAAACCAACTGAAACAATTGCTACTCAGATGTACTTAAAAAGTTTAATTTCAATTCAATGGCTAGTTTTATACACAGGTTGACAGGCGTTGCAATGGGAACTCAGCTTGGTCCATTGTTAGCGGATATTTATGTGGGAATGCTAGAGAGCGGTCCATTAAAACAGGTCATATTGGGTCTGAAATTCTATCGGCGTAATGTGGATGACATATTATATAGAAGTGATCGGACCACCAAAGCCCAGGAAATAATCGATCTTTTCTACGATGCCCGTGATTGTTTAAACTATTTCGGAAAACTGGTAGCGCGGGTTCATAATTCAGTTGCTCAATTGTTCGCCAAGCTGGGAAATTTGTTTGCTAACGTTTCACCGCCATGCGAGGCGGCATCATCAGTGGGTCGAGACGTGGAGTGTAATCTCGCAGATTGAATTGTCGATCCGTGATCGGCTTTGCAGGTGACTTTCCGAAAGCGACGGCTTCGATCTGTGTCCCGTGATCTCTACCCATTTCCCCGTGGCGGAAGTCGTCGCTCGGGTTGTTCCTATTCAAGCAATGTCTCATAATTTCTCCAAGTTCTCTCCGTCGGAGAGGTTGGTAAACTGAGTCAATCTCGATATGCATGTTGATCGAGTCTTTTGTTGAGAACCACGCTTCCAGAAACTCCTTTTCTCTTCTTGTTACACCTCGTGCCAGGAATCCTGTTTCAGCCCTATCAAAGCTGTGTTCTCTTTCATCCACGTGTGCTGAAACTAGCGGTGGTGCACAGTGCCTTTTGCATGCTCGTTTGTGCTCTTGTAATCTTGTTGATACTTTTCTACCTGTTTGGCCGACATAGTCCTTTTCGCAATTTCTACGACTTAGTCTATAAACAACATTTCTTTGCTCATGAGCTTCCAGTTTGAACAATGAACAATGAACAATGAATTTATACAGGTTAAGAAGCGTTGCTTTACAAGCCCCGTTGGATAGTTGGTGGGGATATCAACATAACAATTATGATGAAAAGGATAGTAAAATAGTTAACACTTTAAATACGAAAATAAGGACTTATCGTTTGCTTCGCTGCAGTCCTGCGATCCACTTAGATTCACAACACCCACAGTTAACAACAAATAATTCCAGGGTAAACTCCAGGTGTAGGATGGAGACATAGTGTTAAGTAACAAAATGTAAGTTGATGAGTGCATCGTCCAACCGTCTTTTAAATACTGTTAGTGTCGGTGCAGAGATGAGTGATTCTGGGAGAGCATTCCACGGCTGACAGACACGAATGGAAAAGAAATTTCTGCGGCACTCCAGACGACTGTATTGTTCTGCGAGTTTTAATGAGTGGCCCCTCAGGTTTGTATTGCTGCTGAGTTGCAGTAAAGGGCGGCACACATGATGTGGGTCTCGCAGAATCAAGTATGTCATAATCAGGTCGCCTCGTAGTCTGCGATAGCTTCCACTGAACAATCCTAGTCGTCGCAGCCTCTCCTGGTAGGAAAGATTGCGCATTCCAATTACGTTCTTAGATACCCGGCGTTGTGGCTGCTCCAGTGCATTAAGGTCGTGTTTCAGCCATGGATGCCAGGTTTGAATTGCATATTCGACATGGGGCGAACATACGCACTGAGCATTTGTCGAAATATGGAGCTGTTTATTTGTCCAAACGCCGTCTCAACAGCCCAACGTGTTGGTTCCCGGTCTTCGAGGCCTTTTCGGATTGCCTGGAGCAACCCAAGTCATCTTGAACCAGGACACCCAAGTCACATTCGAGAGTTGATTGTTGCAGTACATCCGTTCCGAGTCGGTATGAGTAGCTGCTTTGATGTCGGATGGAAAGCACCTTGCATTTACTGACGTTGAAATGCAATAAGTTTTGGATCGACCATTGATACACTGTATCTAAGTCACTTTGGAGCACATGTTGGTCGGCATTCGCCTGGATCCTGCG